ATACACAGTGATACAAATATCGAAATACGTACATACTGATGTTCTTTTCGTTTGATTTTTTGTGCCTTTTTCTTTTCTGTTTGTGACAACTCTCTCTGGATGATGGTAAAGAAAACCGTTTGGTGGGATCGAAGGGGTCTGCAGGACTTGTTTTTCTCGTTGTTCGGTTTTTCCCTCTTTTATTATTATTTTTTTTTTCTTTCTTTGTTCAAGTAGGATTCTCGAATTTCGGAACGGTGGTGAAGGTTTTGGATCTGGGCAATGGTAACTTGGGAATGCCGCATCTAATTTTACTGCACTTTTCGCTGTGCTTTGCTAACACGTGTGAAATTCAGCGCAAAGCCATTAGAAAAATATTCTCCAAAAGATCAAATTCGTAGATCGATAAGAATTTTGTCGTACTCATCGCATGATTTTTGGAACATTTTATAAACAAAATTACGTAACATATAATAAACTGTGAACTTTAAATAAATGTTTGACACGATATGAATTAGAAAAATGTAAAAAATTACAAATATTATAATACTTTGTATGAATTTGATCTTGTTTCTTTTAAATATTGTCTAATTAATAAAAAAAAATTTTACTGTGATTAATTATAATTAAAAATTTCCAAAAATCTATACAACTTTCTTTTCATTTATCGATTTAATTATTATCAAGCATCACTATTCACGTTGAAATTCATAATTAAAATAATTATTCGAAATTCTGTCCTTTAAATTAATTTTCTTTAACTTAATTCACACAGTATTGAAATCATCAAACTAATCTCAGTATATGCATAAATATTTGTATATCTTTACAGGATCCCGTATATTTATATTTGAAATATTTTTAAAAAATTTGGAATTCCCTTAAAGTAGGGTTAAAAAATAGGTAAAAAAAGCTTTATTTTTTAACAAAAAAATATTTCAACGTGAAAAAAGATCTCGTTTGCAGCGTAAATTTCGAAGCGGATCAAAATTTGTCAACAAATAGATAAGATTGGAACAATTCTCAATTGAAGTGAGACAAAATTTATAAAATAAAAAATAAATAATAAATGAATGTGGACTTACCGGTCGAATCGAAGTCACCCTCGAGTGGCCTCAACGGCCTCGTTATACTTTTTCTTTTTGATGGGGAATGTTTCAGTGCTGTAACAACACAAAACACAACATTTGCTGTAACTTCAGGTACGATTGGTTCATTACTATTGATTCTGTTAAAACTGAAACAACCATATTACAATAATAATAAAATTTAATGTTAAAGGAGTGTTCGTTTAAATGAATGAAGGAAATACCATTGATTTTATACGCTACTAAAGCTTAGTCAGTACCATAGCAAGTTTTTATTTTATTTTTTATAAAATATTATTTTTTTTTATCCTTGCTACAACACCGATCGCTAATTATAATTCTAACATAATATATGTTTACATATAAGTATAATCTAAATCCTGTTTGATGTTTATTCTTCTTCTTCGTTCTACAAATTAACATAAATAATTTTTTTTCTATTTTTTTTTTTCTATAACAATGAAAAAAAAATGGGAACCAAACTACGTATCCAAGCTGACAACATTCAAAGAAAAGCAATTCTCTCTTTCTAAAAAAAAATATGCTTTCCTTTCAATAATTAATCGTTCTAATTAGTTCTAAGGATTAATATATATTTTATATTAAAAGTTTGTCAATGATTTTGTATATAAACCTTCTACGTGTAACTCGCTACATGCCTTGTGTATTTATGTGTTTTATTTTTATGTTTAGTCATCAGCGATAAAAAACACGATTCATAAATTGCTGGAACTCTCCTATAACACGGCAATCTATAACATTGTTTCCTTTCAAAAAACCTTTGTACAACATTGTACTTCTACAGTCGCGGCGAGGCTTGCCGTCTTAAAGATACAGTGTTGCGGAAAGTATTTATTTTCATCTCCATGGCCTGAAAACAAAAGTTTTTGGCTCATGGCTCTGGATCTTATACAACACGGTTTCGCACAACACGGCATTTTCTAGGAACCTATCTATCGTGTTATAGGAGGGTTACCTGTATATACACAATATATATATATATATATATATATATATATAACAACCTTGGCTACACCATATAAGATCGCAAAAATTTTGACAATATTAAACATGTATAGTATGTTTGTGAGTTTATGATAGTAAAAAAGAATCTATATTCCAGGATTGTAAAAATATTTGTTCATATTTGCAAAATAAAAAAGTATAAGAAGCCTTGATTATACAAATATATACTCATATACATAACTGTGTGTATATATATACGTACGTACGTGATCGTAAACGTCCGTCAAAAAAATTTCCTAAAAAAGTAGCGTATCATACACATCCGCTAGTAGTATTATTATTACTATCAGTATTAATATTAATAATAATTTTTTTTTTATAACAATCTTCGTTGATGATTTTCAAAAGGAGGGTTATGTCTAGGCTAAAGTAATTGCTGCACGAAATAAAAAAGAATATTTTTTCGTGGACATGTGGCTGGAATTAAAATAAAAAAGAAATTATACAAAAAGAAATAATAATAATAATAATAATAATAATAAAAATAATAATAATAATAATAACAATAATAAATATCAATACGCGCGAAATTGATTGGTCACTGGTCCGTACTATTTAAATTTTCTTTCCTCTATCTGTTTCAGGATGATGGGAATAATCCTATGGATCTAGTTTTTATTTTATTTTTCTTATCTCGAATAAAACGCGACCACATTTCGAGAGCTTTTGATGAATGTTTTTAAATAGTTGGAAAAAAATAAAAAAAAGAAAGAAAAAAAGGAAAATAAAAAGTATAGATAAATAGAAGATAGAGAGATTGAAAGATAAAAATAGATGTAAAAAAAAGTGACAAGAAAAAGGATGGTAAAAAGGATTAAAGTACAGAGTGGGTCAAAAGTTACCACGTATGATTAATTAAGAATCAATTGAACACATTTTTTTCTCGTAAAATCAATTTAAATTTTTTTTCCAATTTGTTCTTAAATGTAAAATAAAAAAAGTTAAGAACTTTTATTCCATCCTGTACGTAAAATATCATCAAATACACGATTATTATTGGGTGTAATAACACACAGAAAGAGCTACAAAGATAACAAATGGATCAACAACAGGATATAAGGAGACTAAACATGCGATTGAAAAATCAATCGTTTTTTGATCAAGTTTAATCATGAGAAACTCTAATACATAAACACACAAATATACTACACGTAAGATTTTTTTCTATCGAGTTTAAACATTTTTCATGGGAATGTAGAATATCTTCCAAAAAGATTGATAAGAAGATATTACAATATTTTTAGAATCAATGTTCTCTACTCTAAAGAAAGAATAATTAATTAATTAATTGATTAATTAATTAATAGATTAGAAACATAAGCAATACTTACACTAACACGAAGGATAAAATATAGAAAATACATTGGTACGAGTGCAAGATAATTTTTAATTATCATATACTCAAAGCATTCATTAATTATATAAAAAAAAAAAAATAAAAAAAGGTGCAAATATATATATATATATATATATATACACACACACACACGCTCATATACACGATAAGAAACGAGCTAAAGTTTTAAGATGACGAAAAAGATGCTAATAAAAGCGATTAGCAAAGACGAAATTAAAGAAATAGGAAGTTCAATCAAAATTTTTTATTGAAAAAAAAAAAAAAAAACACGATTTACAAATAAATAAGAAAAAATATGCAAATAAGTAGTAATAAAAAACAAAAAGAAAAGTAGAAAAGATTTTGAGAAGCATTTCTGATGCGTATGAGCGTGGGTACCGAACAAAAATAAATTACAAAATAGTACAAATATTGTTGTAATAAATATTATTTTCTAAAAAAAAAAAAAGAAAAAAAAACATATTCAAATATGAGTGTGTACAAGCGTAAGTGGTTAGAACAGAGGAAAAAACTTTTTACGAACGATCATACAAGTGAGAAACAAGAAAGTAAGGGAAACGAAAAAAAAATTAAAAAAAAAAAAAAAAGAAAGGAAAAAGCGAATAAAGAAGAGAGGAAAAAAAAGAAATCAATTTAAAAATAAAACCAGAATGAATGGAAAATAAATAAATAAATAAATAAAAAATGTAAAAAACAGACAAAGACCGACCAACAGAGACAGACAGAGTTACCTATGTAGCTGGTGACGAGGTTACGGAATTTGCGATGGTTCCCCTTAATCTCAGGCAGGTCCACTTTTCGTATTCGAGTTTTCGAGTATCGATCGGTAGCAGATCAGGTCAGATCAGATCAGGTTCGTTTGGGGTTGACACGGAAAGTAATGCACGAGACACAGAAATATCAACATTTAGCTGATTCCGTTATATTCAATTATTTGCGTCAACATTATTTCTAACAACATACCGGTTTCTCTCATTATTCTAATTTATTTTTTATTTTTTTTCTAAGTAAATTTATTTTATTTATTTATCTTTTTCTTATTATTTTTTTAAGTAATAGAAAATTTCCGTCTTGTGAAATTATAAGAAAGAATGAGTGACACAATATAGTGAGGATTTTTAGAGTATTTAGGCTCAATAAATATTAAAGAAAAAAATAAGAGTTAAAAATAAAATTAAATATAAAAGAAATATATATATAATGTATAAATGTATGAATTAATTAATAGAGAAAAAAAATAATATTTGAAAATTTGTTGGATGAATTCCGAATTCCGTAATTCAATTTAAATATGCACAGATACATTCACACGCTGTCTAATTTTATCACGATCTCGCGTGTAAGTGTAAGTATTAGTAATTTTTCTTTTACGATGGGTTTATATTTTTAAAAATTTTATATATCCGATATTGCTTCTTTACTCGGAAACCTAATTACTTTTTCTTTTTTTTTAACGGTAATGTACATTAGTTTTTAGAAATATGACACACGTCATAATTTGTCTTTATTCCTTGGTTATATCGCTTTTCTTCTTCACTTTTTTTAAATTTTATACATCCCACGTTGCGTTTTTTTGGAAACCTAATTGCTTTTTTCTTTTTTAACGGTAATGTATATTTGTTTTGAAATATGACACAACACAATTTTTATATTTATAATATATGTAATATATAGATATATAGAGAGATAGATAAATAGATATAGATAAATATACACAGGGTGAGCTAAAAGTTTCTAGATTGACCGGACAATTAAAAAAAAAATCAATTATTTTTTCCTCACAATAATTTTACAATAAAAAAAATAAATGATGCTAGAAATCAACGAGAACCTTTGGCCCGTTTCAGAAAATGTTGATCCACCCTGTATATATTTGTGTTAACAAGTGAAGATTAACAAAAAGAAAAAAAAGATATATCCTCAAAATGTGTTGCACGAGAAAAACACAAACAACGAACACATCGCATGGAAAACATAATAATTATCGAAGACAGTATGTAAGGTGTATAAAATGATGACAATGATGATGATAATGATGATGATTATGATTAAATAACTTTGAAATAAAAATATTAAAAGATTACAAAAATTAGAAGCAAAAAAAAAAAAGAATTATATAAAAATATAGATAAATAAAAGATTAAAGATATGGGAGTGCAGTATATGATTTAAAATTATAACACACAAAATAATTGATTAATTAATTAGTATGACACAGCACACACAGACGAATTTAGTTAGTGTTTGTTCCCCTTTCACTTTTGTTAACCCTTTGATTTCGAAACGTTCGGATATCGTTCGATATGAGCAAACATTTTTTGAGCGTCTATAAGTGCCATTATCACCAAAAGAGCAACATTGTTCATATACAATAGTTTAATAATTATATTTTGTATTTAAAAATAAAAAAAATAAAATAAAAATAACAACGAAGAACACAATAAAAGTATAAAGAAATAAATCAAGTGTGAGACAGTAGTAGTGCGGGTAGGCTCTTTAAATGAAATGAAATTGTCAATCGTGAAAATGTTTATTGGCAAAAAATATATATGTATATATATATATATATATATAAATATTTTACATTGGTGTCCACAGTGTGAGAGTTTATAGCTGAATATTTTTGTTTCTATTTACTATCCTTTTCTAATTTCTAATATTTGCTTTTTATAATTCTTGTCTTTTTTGTTTTGTATTTTTTTTTTTAATTTAATATCCCTTTGTTTAACATTTTAAAAAGATATTTCTATCTCTAATTTTCATACCTAATTTTCTCACTCACTCATTCGCTCCTTCTCACACTCTTTCTCTTTCCAAGATCCGAAAAATGTCTATTATTGTATATAAATCTTAAGTAAGTGTTGACAATTTGTTCGTTACGAGGAACTCTCAATCAATAGAAAATGATAGAAAGCACGAAAATAAGTCATTATTTGAGATAGATTCTAACAATAGATCACAGATCATTTTAATAATTAATTATAATTGTGTACGAATATATAAGTAAATGATTATGAAAGTGGATTAATTTTTAATTATTTCAGATCATTTAAAATACATATTTTTTGTTATGTCCTATTTTTGAAAAAAATTTTCAAATCAGATAAAAAAGAAACAAAGATTTGTTTAAATAATTTTCATTTTTAAATTAAATTGTACAAGAATAAACGTACAAAAAATATATATTATTTATATCAGAACTTCTCAACGCAACTCTGACGAACCAATAATATGGGGTCGCCAATATTGGAGCAAAAGTAATAAATTCTTTGATGGTGAACGAACCAAAAATTCATTCAAAACAAGACACGTATAGTATGCCTGTAAGTTTATGATAATAGAAGAGAAGATAATGTAGAGTTTTAAGTTACGAGAATATTAGTTTAGGTAAAAGAGGTCGGCAAGTGGAAAAGTTTGAGGAGCCCTGATTTATATAATAATCACAATCACTGATTTATATATTATACTAATACGTATCGTGCATTCTATTACATCCTTTTCGGTAACAAGCTTTAATCAGATTGCGTACCCGAATGAATAATAAAATAGAAAGCTTTGTGTGTAAATAGAATTAGTATTAGAAGAAGCAACTCATATGCACTCTCTATCAATTATTATTTAAATAATATACAATTTGTGTATATATATAGGTATAAATGTATAAACAAGTCTTACAAAACTTTGGCACACAGGTAAGTACTTGTTTATCGAGGAACTGTTTTTTCTTTCTTTATTCTATATAAATATTTAATTGCAATACGTAATCCACACACGCATAGGAAGTACAGTCGAAATAAACTTTTTTTATTATTATTATTATAAAATAACTTTATTTTGTATGCTAATTAATGAATAAAATAATATTCATTTCTACTTACATTCGACAATGTTCAAATACTCAGCTATGTTTTGTGGACACCAGTGAACATAGATTATCAATTAAATTAATTTTACAAATTAGCCGATTAAAATACTGCTCATTTAAATGTAATTTTTTTTTTAATTAATTAATTAATTAATTGTATTTAAATACTGTCTTCGTACGAGTATATTAAAATGATGAACCAACGAAACATTAATTTTTTATATAAATCAAAATAAAGTAAATTAAAACAAATTAAATCGTAAAAATGAGAATAAAAAAATGTAAATAATGAGATAAAATAAAAAATGAAAATATAAATGTACGTATACATTGTGTTAGCAATTAGTCACACCAAAACAAAACCTAATAAGTGATTATCCAATTACTGATTAAGGTTTCTTTTTTCTTTTCTCTAGATAGATTTGTTATACATCTATATACACTACTGATTGATTCATATTTTTTGCATGAATTTCTCTGAAGGTATCCGAAAATATCTTAATGAATCTAAAACAATGATTAATCTTACATTAAACAACTACAAATTTGTGCTATCGATATGGCGTATTATTTATTCAAATATCACGTTTTAGTTGCTCGTGAATTTGTTCGATAATATTAATCTACACGTTTGGCAGCACGAATTTCATTTATACATTAGTTGGACAAGAAAGTTTGTGCAGTTTTTGGGTTTTTTTAAAAATATATTTTTTGTTTCTATTGGATTTAAACGACACGAATTTTTTTGTTCATAAAATACGTATATGTATATTTATATATATTTTTTAAAATATCTACATAAATGTAATTACATATATGTATTACTATAAAAGCGAATGATTTAATAGAAATTTTCAGATACCAGCGAGATCCGTTTCTTATGATTTCTTTCTTAGAATATTATTTTGGACGGTTATAATATATCTGCTTTTATTTTTTGCATAAAAAAAAGGAAGATAGTTTGCAAAATATAAAATAGATCTGTATACTTATATATAATATATGTTTTTTTTTCTTTTTACGCGAAATTGCTTACTATGTTTTTTTACTTTTTTCTCTTTTTTCTTTTCTTGTGAGCCTAATCGTTTATGATAAATGCATGATTTAAACTAAATAATACAATCGATTTGTACGATAATAATAATACTACTAATAATAATAATCGATAATAATAATACTAATAATAATAATAATAATAATAATAATAATAATAATAATAATAATAATAATAATAATAATGAGATTAATAGTCTCACATATTGGACATTGCTTGAAATGAACATTTAAAAATGAAAACTTGTTACTTGTTAGAAAAGGGCATAGTTAATTATGCTAATAGCGAATAAGTACGTTTAATTAATTAAAATATTATCTGTCTCTCTGTTTTTTTTTTTAAATGTTTTTCGGATGCTTTTCTTTTTGCTTTTTCTTTTTTTTCAATAAGATTACAACGAGAATACTGGAGAAAACAAAATACGGCTTCTTCTAGCTTACGGCATACTGCACTATTTATATATTTTAATTTGCGTTGTGTTTGTGTTTATGAATGTACGTATACATATTACTTTTCTCCTATCTTAAGTACCGACAAATATTAATTTTAATTAATATTAAATGTAAATGTGTATGTTTGGGAAAAGCCATATGCTAAATATTAGTTAATTAAAGTTAAATTAGTTAATCTATTTGCTTTTTTTTCTTCTCCTTTGTTTATATTATAATCCAATATCCTAAATCTCCCTAGAAAATCTTTTTCCCAAATTCTTGTATTTTTATATTTTTAATAATTTTGTAAGGTACATTTCCAATACGCGATTATCGAATTAAAAAAAAAGAAAAATAAAAAAAAAATCATCGAATAGCATTGCATATGGTGTTGAATTATAGTATATGCGTGATACATATATATACATATATAGTATTCAGACAGACACAAGAATATAAAATCACAGTTAGTAGTTTAAAAAAAGAACATTTTTATCGTTATCTTTACATTCGTTTTTGTAATGATAACCTTGAAAAATGTTAGAGCATTATATTATTGTTGAATGACATAGATAATTAGCTATGTTTCAACGTTTTAAAAAATATTAAATATATGTATATATAAAATAGAGAGAAAATATAAAGAGTATAAAAAATTAATCATAATTGAGATAAATTAGATCAACCAGAAAGCAATGATCATCGCGATAATAATCAATTCATTGTAATTAAACTTACAACTTAAGAATGAGCCTTGTTTAATGTTAACATTGACGTCAAGTTTGCTAGTAGAGGCTGATTAGGATGGTACTTACGTGAAGGTATCTTCTTGAATACTGTCTTGGCCATAAAGTCTTGAAAACGCTGAGCATAAAATCCTGGTCGATGTACTGATACCGTATCCTAAAGAGAAGAAATAACAAAAAATATTGTTTCAATTTATTCATTTTAATTGGTATAGAAAATAAAACGATAAATAAATTGATAACTAGATATTTGTTGATATTTTTTACATATTAATTAATATGTAAAAAATACATACAAATTACATATTAATTAATTAATATAAATAAATATTATAATATAAACAAAATGGTAAACTTACACCATCGTGTATCATCGATTTCCACGTATGCTCGAGCTTTTTCTTAAGCCTGTAGCTCTGCAAAATGTCAATGATACCAAGAAATAGCAATAGCCGTTCACCACGAGCATTTCTTGCAGGTATACCACCAGGACTGCTAGGAAAAAAAAATAATTTATATTTAACATTTATATACTTAACTTTTGATATTTATACATTCAACAAATCAATTTCTATAGGATGGAATCACAAATTTCTAGGTAGGTCAAAAAATTTCTAGATTATTTCTACAAATAAATTGGAGCAAAATTTTTAAGCTAGCAATTATAAATTGTAAATATAGTAGTATTGTATTAAACATTCCCATAAGTAGAAAGTTAATTGATGAAGTTAAATAAAAAAAACTTTCACTCGTATTTATTTGGTAAGCATTTGAAATAGGAACAAGATGGTGCTAGGGTATATATCAAGATTACACACTGATACGAAATATATACTAATTTTTTATTTGTTCATGCACAATGAACAATAAAATATTACTACATAAACATACCCAAAAATTTGGGAAAAAATTAGCTAATTTTGAAGAAAATTACTTATTAACTTGAGATGATCCCATTAAAGAATTTTTGATCTACCTTTTATATATTGTAATAAAAATAATGAATGAAAAATATATACGTGTAAAAGAATACTCACGGAACATCATCCTCTTCATCAATTGGTTCGCTTTCAGCTTGAATACTTTCCATAGCTGTACTATGAGCGACCAATCTTTGCCTGTTTATGCTTCTCGATCGATTCAATGCCGTAGCACCTATTCTATCTTCCCTGTCACGTTCTCTTTCCGCTTGAATAAAAGCTCCATTCTCTCCAGTCATTTCACCAACTTCGTCGTCCGCACTGGCCGATATTCTTTGTTCCTGCTAACCAAATGAATCAACAAAACGTTTGTGAAATATTTTTACTTCAGTTTTATTTGAAATTATTTTATTCGAGGTAAGGAAGGCTAACTAAATATTGATGTGTTAAGCATGCAATGGATTCATATAAATTTTCCTGATACAAATTAGCTGATAAATGGATAGCCAAGCTTTGGATTCAGAGCTGAACTTTTAGGAAACCTACCAGAACAATTTTACAGTATTTAAAAGTTGTGAATACGCTCCTATATTAATCACGTCTCAATCACGTGAAATTGTTTACTTTTAACTTAACTCATTGAACGGAGATAAAAGTAGTTTTTTAGATTAAAAGTAGTTTAAAATATACAGTCTAAAATAAATTTTAAAAACAAATATATACATAAATAAATTATCCTACTTACAGTTTTTTCTCTTGCAGCCTGATCCAGATTATGTATCCCAACAAGAAGCGAATAATCCATAATCTTGAAGCTTTCCAATACCCGACAATCTCGTTGAATTGTTTTAACCAGAGCATTGTACGTGTCAGCTTCCAGAAAAATTCCTTCTGGATGATGCTCCATAAAATCTAAGTCCTTATACGTCGGAGACGATTTTGATCTTTCTGACTTTGATGCCTAGAAAATAATTAATATACATATGAAATATATAAAATAAGAAAAATCAAATTTAGAATAAATAAAATCACACGTCATACTTTTCTTTTATACGTTGATCCTTTGAGATCGTACTTTTGATGCAATTTTACTGCTGAAGGAAGGAGATTATTCATAGCTACTAATCGAACATTTTTACTGTTACACCGATAACAATATAAGCCAAAAAATTTAGGTAACAATGTTCTCGGATTCTGATTTAAATTCTGAAAACGAAAAAACACATTGATTATTAGTCAATTTGATTCACTGCCTCAATGACAAAATAATATTATTGCGGGTATATGAAACAATTTGATATATAATAAAATTAACGTCACAATGAAATTGTAAAGAGTTTGTCAGAAGTTCCAAGTGGTTGAACTAAAGATAAATTATTCTTTTTATTTGTTAATTTATATTTTTATTTTGCGTTATATTGTAATTGATTTTTAACGATTATCTAAGATTATTATAAAAACTTTCTGCTGTTGTGGGTCAATCTGTATATCTGATTATTCTCTTACCATGTAATATCCTGGTAGAAGAGTTTGCAAGAACTCTCCCTCTTTATGCTGTACAGTCTTAATAATAAATTCATCATCCTCCGTTAAATAGAATATACTTCCGCTAGCACCCGGATTGGATAACTCGCGCAAAGGTGCGCTACACATTGACATCTAAAAAATAACAAATAAAATAAATACAAAAATTAAATATAAATATGTGAATGTTAATTCTATAAATAAATACAAATTATATCATTATAATTATTATTTCATTAAATAAATAGTATTACCAAAAAGTCATCCGGTTGAATGCCAAAGAGATCCCTAAAATATCGAAATGCAATTGGGGCGTAATTTTTAAATTTAAATTCGGAAAAGTGATGAGCAGGAGTGTGATTCGATCCCTCGCTTGGAAAATTCGTTGTTTCGACAGTCATGAAGTCTTGCATGAGCAAATCTCGTTCTGGCTTACTTGCCAGACCACCGACTGCATGTTGTATACCAAGTTGTATAGATCCCATAATCTGTGTCGTTTGTATCTATTCGTTTTATACAAGAAAACATTTATTAATATAATTACAATAGTGTTTTACCTACAAAATACTATCATATATAATAAAAATAATAATTAATAAATATGTACATTGGATTTATTAAAAAGTAATATTAAAATTTCCAATATAACCAATTTCAAATAAATGGGTTTTCTATTTAAATATATAAATTCTTTATATATTCTAATCTAACGTATTAAAAATTTTAAATAAAAAAAATTTTAATGTTATTTTAATTTGGATATTTAATAACAAACAAGTTTAAAAATGAAGTAATAATCTAAATTACTTATTGACTAATCAAATATAATATTCTCTTAATTTATATACCTATTTAATATTATTTTGTAGGATTGTATTACCTTTTTGTACGTAATTTCACCTCCCACTCCAACTCGACGATGTCCAATTTTCCTTTCCCTTTCCGATTTGTTTCTTGACACCCCCGCAGGGGTTTTGAGCCCCACCGTTCCATGCTGTGTTATTGAATTCTGCAAAATAAACTACCCGTCTACTATCTCCTGCGTCATGATATAAAAAAAAATTAGATAAATATTATTAACCAATTTATTTATTTAAATCCATAATTTGACGAGAGAAAAAGAGAAAAGATTATCTCGAAAACAAAAATTATCCTCTAGCACATTCATTATATGAAATTCAATAAAAAAAAATTGTAATAGAAAAATTATTCTTTAGAAATATTTATAAAAGAGAGAGAGAGAGAGAGAGAGAGAGAGAGAAAAGAAAATAAAGAAATGAAGAAAAAAAGTAGAAATGCAGTTGATAAAGAAATTGATGACGAATCGAATAACATATTTTAAGACCGGAAATAGAGCTGATTTCACCTGAGGAAATTAAAAGGAAATCCAATTATGTATTAAGTCACGTATATATCTATATACACATATGTACACTACGAGATACATTCTTGTATTGATCGTCATTGCAATAAACAAATAAATATACAGTAAGTGTAGAAAGTATTCATACACCGATCAATTTGAAATAAAATGTTGTGAAATTGTAGTTTACTAACTAATTTTTTGTTTCGAATTTCGCCAAAAATTACGTACAATAATAGCGGATATATGAATATTTAAATTATTTTTAAGATGTTAGACTATTTTTATAGCACTTATCTTTGGATTCTGTTTTCATTCTTGCGATAATTCGTCCATTGTACTGATTAATTTTTCGTGGACGTTCATTTCTTGAGTTATTTTGCAGTTCTTTCTTAATCCATACCTATCAATGATACTTTGTATAGTAGGTCGAGGTCTGTTTTCTAATTCGCGATATTTTTAATAAACTTTTACATTGATTATGTGTGTAAATTATTAATAATTTTTCTTTCTTCTATCGTTATTTCCACACGTTTTCGTCCCATTTTCCAACAATGATTTTCGATCTTAAAAATTTTTTAGTTCAACTGATGCCGATAACACTTACAAACATACTGATGAGGTCAATTATAACTAAAAAAAATTACGTGATGTTTTTACATGATGGTTTATATACAAACTCTTTTGCAAATAGTTCGAAATAAGAACTGTATTAATACTTATTGCTCGTATCTTTCTGCCGATTTTTTCGTTCATTATATCTATTGTAAAAACTCACAAGAATATTTACAAATTCATTGTTTATAAAAAATTATTTAATAAACTACAATTTCACAACATTTTATTTCAAATTGATCGGTGTACGAATACTTTCTACACTCACTGTAAATAGAATGAAAGTAATAAAAAATAAATAGTGATTCCAATTCTAATTAATAATTAATGCACAATAATTAATAAAATGTTATTATTATTATTATTATTATTATTATTATTATTATTATTATTATTATTATTATTATTAACTGGCATTAGGAACTCGAAAGTTTATTGCCGCAAATACCAAATCTCGCCATTTTTCCCGTCTTTGGGCACAACCCCCCCATTTGCGGTCTTCGTATCTTATTTCTTTAAGATCCCTAATAAAATATTATTAGTGTTAATAATAAAAAGAATGAAAGTATTCAGAAAAAAAACTTTGATTCTAATTCCAACCGATTAATTGTTGTTATTTCTAATTAATACAATTTTTGTAAAGATATAAAAATGAAATAAGATAGAAACTGAGAATTATAAATTAGACCAAAAAATGATTGATTGTACGATAATCGATAAGATTTTTATTTTCGCGTTATATTTGTTAAAGATTATTGCATCATGTAAATATTCTGTAAACTTTCAATGTAAATTAGAAAGAAAAAATGCGAACGCGATGACTAGGACTATGGTTACGAGGTCGGTATTGCACGAAGCGATTAACGAAGCAACGTTAGTTTTTTTCTCCCCCCAATTCTCCTCCCTCGAACGTCCCACCTCTTCGACCACGGTAACTATGAGAGTTATGCAAGGAGAGTCTCGTTTTTTTATTACATGTTAACATTCTACAAAGTATCGACATATTATCTCTTTTAATATTTTAATTATCAAAAATATTTACTCTTTAATTTCTATCTATAAGATAGAAAATAAAAAAAGATAATAACGTAACAAATTTTGATATTTTTTTCTATCTCGATTTCTAAATTTTTCTTCCTTGAATTTTATTCTATTTTATAAACTTAAATAAATTATTATTTAGAGATTTTTATTTTAATTAAAATAATAAAAAATAAAAATCGACTTCAATATTTTTTTTTTCTTTTCCTCCTTTCTCGAATGTACATTATTTTAAATTTTACTTTCAATTTTACAATTTATTACGACGAGATAATCTTTTCATCTGTAATATCTTTCCTCTATTTGTATGTGTGTTTTTCTTTTAAATTACAAAAAGAAATTTTGGACAAATTTTGTTTAAATTTCGATCCTTTCTCTTACGTTTTATTTCTAACAATAATTTCAACTCTATTATTCCGTACTCATTCGTAGAAATGTTTTCCTTTTTGTCACTGTTTGTAATGTACGATAAAAACTTGAATGCGATAGGAGTCACACGTTATCTTCTGACGTACAAACGAGTAAGTACGTACATACGTATTTCTCGAGCGTCAAGAAAGCATAGTATTGTAAACGAACTAATTGCGTCAATAATAACCTCTTTTTTTCTTCGTTATTTCTTTATTCTTGAAAACTCAAAAGAGAAAGATCGAAAAATTTCAAACAATAATGTGTATTATAAGCATTGATTAGATAATGATACTTACATCGAGTGCAGTTACTTTTTCTCCCGTGGATTTATCTGTGAAAACAACACATGAAAATATTTAATAATATCACAATTTTTCACGTTTATTAAATTATTTCTTTAAATAATACTAAAACAAGAAACAGAACAATTATAATAGAAAGAGAATTACATTAAACATTTTAATTTTATATTACAAATAAATGTTATACATATTATTCAAATAATTCATATTTAATCATTTATTTTAAAATATTTCGAGAATTTAAAATTTTGAAAAATATCGATGAAATTTGTACATTTATATATAATAATTCATTTTTAAAAAAGTACATATATAACAAAAAAATATTAAATAATACGTTCGATTTAAATCCAAATATTTTATTTATGAAGTGAGAAATCCATTGTTAGAAAGATTAATCAAATTTCAATTCGTAGGATGAAACGTATCCGCCATTTTTAAAAGGAACCGATTATTTCTCCTTCCATTCTCCCTTACTCACTTCCTCATACTAGAGGATCGATATCAAACCTCGGTCAAATCGAGAACCAGGACCAGAATACCACATCTCGTGTTAATCAAATTCTGTTTAATGTAATCGATAATCAATGTACTACATAAGGTTTAATTAGAAGCTTTTGATTTATAGGTAGCACTTTCGGTAACGTTGGGTTTAATTCATAGAATACTGGTAGTAGTGTGGTGTGGGTGGATGGTAATGGTGAGAGTATAACTATGAAGAGTAGTGAAAGCTTTGATCAAAAGATCAAAGGCCGGTCGGTTGTTCGACAACAAAAAAAAAAAGAAAAAAGAAGGAGAAAAAAAATATAAAAAATAGAAAAGAAAAAAAAATTGACATAAGTTTTAACCGTGCTATGTGACTTTTCCAATAAAATATATGTATATACATGCTGAACATATACAAAACGGAGTCATTCCAATGTATGGAGGGACCATACATATATACCCTCCATATTCCAATGGAAACGACAGATAAAAGGAACAGGTTATTCGAAATTTAACGGTGACAAAAAATTGCCAAGTTTTTTAAGATGAAAAGAACGTAAATGGAATATTATTTTAAACCAAGAATCTTTTCAACTACAATGTAATGTGGCGAATATACCAGGCGGGGCATTTAAATTGGAACATGTAAACATCTTTTTTCATTATTTATGGTATTATGGAAAACAATGTTAGGACAAAATTACGTCGTTACAACTGAATGCATGTGATGATGATGATGATGATGATGATGATGATGGTATGAATTTTTTAAATCAGTTAATTGATGCAAAAGATACGAAATAATTACTGAAAAATGTAATTTAAAAATCAAATGAAAAAGAAAATTCTTAAATATTGACTCAATAATAGTGGCAAATATTTTATTTTAATTATTTATAAAAAAAAAATTATAAATCTATTTGTATCAAAAGATAATTTAAAGAGATATTATAATGTTAATAATACAAAGAAATTAAGATGTGCATTTAATAAAATTTAGTAAATAGTAATGAAATAAAATATTGAATTGCATGAAATAATGAATTTTACCATGAAACCATAAATAACTAAGATGTTTTGTCAAACTGCCCAACCTAAATACACGTAAACACGAATACATGGAAGAAAATATATTAAAAGATATTTTCATTAAACTGAACTACTTGTATATACTATACATCATACACGTACAATGCACGATAGAATGATCAAAGCTTTTGACACACACAGATACATTAATCAACACATGTAAACATATTTGTAGGATAGAATAGAGAGTGAACTTTGCAGGATGAAAAAAATGAGAAAGAAAAAAAAAGGGAAAAATCAACAAAGTTACTGGGCATGGTATAATCGAAGGGTTAACAATGTTCACTGTGACATTTGAGATACACACACACACACACACACATATAAATAAATGCAGTGTGTGCGTCAGATTACGAGAATAACTTTGTTGAGCCTAATGGCGCGAGTATGTTTTAAGAGTTAATCGTCTTGACCGACACACAATTATAACATTTCTGTCTCTTTCTTTCTGTATTTGTTTCTATCTTTCTTTCAAAGTTTTATACTCGTTTACAAAACACGCAACTTGAGTGCAGCACGCGATACGTAGCTTATGGTTGTTTCAAATTCTCAAAATGTAGACAATAATCGAAAACAAATTTTTTATTTAGGACTTCATATTTAAACCTTAACATATGTTCAGTAAATCTCGAAGTAATTTTTTTCAACTGTTTACAATAAACAAATGTTTGTGCATAACTGCAAAATTTATAATTTAAACGTGAGCGTTGAGAACATTTATGACTCGCTGTTCTCGAAGAATAACGGTTATTTTAAACGCGTATAATAAAGTTAATATCCAACAAATGCTAAAGTATGGATATGAAATCTTCGCCTAACAATTATGTTTTTCAATATTTATATAAGTAACAAATGTAATTGCTAATGATAAATATATTGTTATATGTGATGCACGATATTAGAAATATCTATTAAAAAGAGCTTTAAATATAATTAAAAATTCTTGACCAATTCTACGCTCTAATTGGTTTTACATTGTTTAATTACAAGTAAATTAAATAAAAAATAAGCTAATAAATAACTAATTATTTCTCTTAAATATTTCTTATTGTTATTTTATTTATCACAATAGCTATTATTAAATATAGAATATTACTTTCAGTGATAATGCATTCTAAATTGTTCACAATTTTGTCTTTGCCAATATATTTATAAAAAGGATAATATCAGATTTGTAATCAGTGACTTGGAAACTATACCAAATATTAATTTTCAAGAACATTAAACTACATTTTCATATTTTGGCCACGTTTTAAAAACTTGGGATTAGTGTGCGTAGGTTCGATAAACGGTACAATGCCCCTTCTTCCTACTTTCACGCGTGCCAAAAGCAAAAAAGAAAGAAGCAAAGATAAAGAAAGAGAAAGAAAGTCTGCAGCCAGTGAAAAATTATTTTCAACAAAAATTCCGTTTAACACGGATATAATTGAAAAAATTATTATTTATAAAATAATCAATTAAATTAGGGGATTAAAATTGAAAAAGAATCAGCTATCGATTCGATATTATCTTCAATGAAATATAAAAAATAAAACTATACACGTTTCAATATCATCTGTCAGTAATTAATACAAAAATTGAAAAAGAAATCTATTGTTAATTCGATTTATACTTAATAATAATAATATAAAAATCAATTTGAAACACATTTTAATATCGATCAAATAATTACTAAGACGATTAATACAAAATTTGATTAAAAAAAAATAGTTGTTAATAAAAATTACTATTAAAAATAGTGATCTCAAAATCAATTTTGAAAATGTCGCTGAAATAATTACTCCACAAATCTAATACAGAAGATGTAGAACAAACCTGACAATCTGACCAAACAAAAAATGTAAATTAATTATCACCAATTTGATTAGAGAAAAAAATTCCTAAATAATTACTAAATTAAAAAATACGAAAGAGAGAGAACAAATACAAACAAAAAAATATACACCAAAAATACAATATTTATTTTTCAAAATTGAGTATCAATAATCGGCGCATCTAGGCAGAATATATTCGTGTGATCGAATAACGGACATAAACGATGGAGAAAAATAGATAGAAAGGTTCGAGGGGTAGTTGAGAGGGTGGTTTTAGAAGGGGTTGAGTAGAAGGGATAAAGGGAGGAATAAAAGAGAGTATACAGAAGAAGAGGAAGAGGAAGAGGAAGGTTCGAGGCATCGATTTCGTTCGGGAAGAGAAGACACGCGTGGCGCACGATGGACGATGGGCTGTGGGAGGAAAGGGGGCAGGGGAAAGTGGGGGTGAAGGGAAGGAGGTAGACACGGGTGACACCCATCAGCTGTCAAATCGTGCTCGAGCGAGCCGGATTACGAGACGCTTCGGAGCTTCCCCAAGGGACACCACGGCTTCTTTATTGTCTTATTTCTTTTTAGTATTTAGTACTTTAGTTTTTTCGGCATGATCTAAGAAAATCTATCCAAATATAGCAAAGGAAAATTTGAGAAATTTAAAGAGGATATCGAATTTTCAAACGCATTATTTGTCCTTCCTTTTTCGGAGAGTTGTAATAATAGTAGGTAGCAGTAGTAGTAGTAGTAGTTTAGTAGAGTAGTAGTAGAGCGTAGTAGTAGTAGTAAAATAGTAGTATCTATCTATCTCACTTACTAATTTAACTAATCGTAAATATTCATCGTTGTCTTTCTTTCTTTCATTACGTGTCTCGTTATAGGTTATGTCGACAATACAAGAACGGAAAGAAATAAAGAAAAAGAGATAGATATATAAAAAAAAAACTAATAAAACAGAGATATAGAAAAAAAGAGATTTATAGTGAGTATAAAAAGGAAGGACGCGAAATGTATGTTAAAAAATAAAAAAAAAAAAATAAAAAAAAAAATAAAAAAAAATTAAAAAAAAATAAAAAATAGAAAAGAGAAATGAAACACAAAAATACTTACTGTCGTCTTCGGTTGACTGATCAGTCCTCGTAGAATCCTCGGTAGCAGCAGCAGGTTGAGCCGGTCCGGTGAAGCTGGTCTCGACCACCTCGATCGCGTCCACATTGTCGCCTGAAGCCATCTTGTACGTGGTGGCCGCCCGTTACGATCCACGACGGGACGACTGACTCACGCTAGATTCAACACCAAGACGATTTCGTGATGGCGCCTCCTCTCTTTCCTCGTCGTCCTCCGCGTTACTAATACGCGCGAACGCATCTTTCTCGACGCGTAATCGAAAGAAACTTATTTTCTCTCTCTCACTATTTACATGCTCTTTCTTCTTGTCTGTCTGCCTTACAATCCTTTCGTCTTTGTCTCTCTCACAGTGGTGACTTCAGAATGTACGTATTGCTACCAACGTGTATCCTTGTCTCAATGCACATTCCCTATCTCTTTCTTTTTTATGTACACGTCACCTTTTCCTCCTCCTCTTTCTCCTTCTTTCTTTCTCTCTTTTTCTCTCTCTCTTTCTCTCTCTTCTTTTTCTTCTTTTTAAGTAACACGAAAAAAACTCTCTCGATTTTTCTTTTTCACGCGTAAAGGATGTCAATGACAAACCATCTCATATTCGACACAACTCGTGTATAACTCTATTTTTACTAATTACTATATATTCCCGTTTTTTTCTGTTTTAATAATTAAATTATATCTTTCTTTTTGTCGTTGTTTTGTTCTTCATTCGTTCTCTCTTAACCCAAGAACAGACACGAACGAGAAGAGAGAGTTGTCGTCTCTTGTCTACTCAGTGTCGCACCACGCCGATTTCTATCGACCGGACATCTTGTCGACGCTGCTTCCACGCCGCCATGCGGTTTAATTCCGTACTAACGTATCGACCGTACCTAATTGATAGATGACTAGCGCCATCTTGGATTCCTTTAACGTGGATAGTTAAATCTCTTCCTTATCGACCGCTAAATTAATAATTGTCGTTTAATTTCTTTTTTTTTATTCCAATTGCAAGATTTTTTAAAATTTTCTTTTTCTTAAATTTAAATATTGATTAGATTTGTTTAGATTTAATATTTGTTTTTTGGATATTTTTTTGTCTTTGAAAATAAATAAAACTTTTCAATGAATCATTAAATTTTCTTACGAAATATGAATCCTTGGATAGATTAGCTCATCGTAACTGTTAGTAACAATTATATTGAAAAATCTATTTAAATCTTTAAAGATATATATCTTAGAGAATAAAATAGAATAAAAACTTGTTTACATTACCGACTCGTCTCTTAAGAATTTTCATAGTTGACTCACGGAGGTCGATTCAATCGGTGTGTTTCATTCGTTAGATTATCTTCGATATATATCGTATCATGACTTTTATATCTTATTTTAAATGCGTTTCAATGTCAAAAAAAATCGTCCGTTATAAAAAAAAACATTTACTAATCATTTTCCTATTATTATTATGCTAAATTTCATAACAAACGATTGAATCATCGAAGTGGATATTTTCTTAAAACTAATTGTAACATGTGTAAATAATTAAATTTTATGCACATTAATCGAAAATATAAAAAACAAAAATAGGAAAAATATATTCAATTAATAAGTATTATTTTGTAAATAGTTTCAAATGTGGTGAACAAAGTAATCGGATCTATGCGAGGAAGAATGAAAATGCAATGGGATTCGATTTGGTTTCAAAGAAGCGTCATTTTGGGGGTAGCTATCGTAATAGCTTCAGGAATTTTTAATAGTTACATTGACTATCAGAATCAGGTAAATCCATGAATAACTGAAATTTAAATTTAGGTGTCTTAGTTGAAACAATACCCAGTGAACACAATTACGTCAAAATGATTTTGCGCGATGTCATGATTTACGTAAGATATAAGTCAGATATGAGTCACATGTGACTCATTATTTCACACTTATTGACGTAAGACTTTTACGTAATAAATATGACGTTAAGCTGACCTGACGAAACAAAAGAACAAAAAAGCAATGATGTCATACATATGTCTAGTTGTTGCCGAATTTCTTACTAGTATATGACGTATAATTTTTTTTTTCCACACCCGGGATTTGAACTCGGAAACATACGATTACTGGATGGTGATTTGCCTCACAGAGCCATGCGAACTTGTGCTAATTTCCATTGTATTACTAATCCATATATAATTAACAATATTATTAAATATAATTAATAAATAATATTAAATAATAAAATGAACATAAATTATTAATATAAATTATAATTAACATGTTCCGTGCCACGTGTACCACCGGTAGTACAATAACCATTAGACATATTTATTTAATGCACTGAAAATATATACTTATAAGGTGACTTACCGTCACCGTTTTTTTAAATATATATATATATATATATATTAGGGCAGGTCAAAAAAATCAATTATTTTTTTTTTACAAGTGCTACAAAAAAAATGGGTTCGCTAGACACCTTAAAAAAATTCTCACCAAATATGAGCTCTTAATTTTAATAGGAAGATCCGCCGAATCGCAGTTTTTTATTTTTTTCTCAGTCCAATAGAATAAAATTCATACCTCATCATTAATTGAGTGTACAGAAAAATGTTCTAGAAGAATTTTTTAGGAAATTTAATGCTTTACAAAAAAGGTATCTTATATATTTTTTCCGTAAACCTCACCATTTGAATGATATTGAAGATTTCAGTTTAATTATTTTAAGACAAATTTCATTTTTGTTTATGAATTTTATAACTCGACAATAAATGACTATAAAAAAGTGCGCAATACAAATTTTTGTAGGAAATTAACTGCTCTATAAAAATGGTGTTTTATGTTTTGGCGATTAAATTAAGCGTTCAAAAGATATTCAGAGACAAAAATCAGTACACATGAAAGTTTGATGATATATATATATATATATGTATATGGGGCATTCCACGTTAAATCAGTCACTTTTGACCCCGACCCCTTTCGATTTGTCTGAAAGTTTTTTATTCTATGCTACCCTATGAAAAACAATTTTCAGAATTATTTCAAATTTTTTTACCAAATCCAAAATATTTAATTTTTGAAAAAAAATGGCTCTTTTCTTTGAAATGGCTATAACTTCTTAAAAATTCAACCCATTGGAACGTTTTTTTTTAAATATTTGTTTTTAAATGTACTTTTCAGAAAAAAAATACAAAAAAATTTCAAAATTATAAAATCCATTAAATTTTCGTATTTTTTGAGAAAAACCGTTATTTTCTCGAAGTTCGCCATTTTTCATTTTTTTTTATTTTCTAGAAAAAAACTTTGTCTAAATCTGCGATTATTCCCGCCAGTCCCAGAATAAGCTGAGTTAGTTTCCTATTTTTTTTATTTAATTGAAAAAAAATTTTTATTTTTTTTTAAATTAAATTAATTTAATTAAAAAATTTTACAATATTATATACTTAATTTATAGTCTCAAAGTACAAAGTTAAAAAAAAAAATTCAACCTTTCGTTTTTTGCTGTAAGAATATGATGGAATTATTACGTCATTTTTATGTCAGAACATATGACTTAATATTGAGGTCRTAAATAAAGTCACTTTTCACTTCAAAAATTTGAAGATGACTTTATGACATACGTATGACATCATTTTAAGGTCTTGTGTTCACTGGGTTCCGTCATGTGTACGAAAAAATTTGAAGATGACTTTATGACGTACGTATGACATCATATGAAGGTCTTGTGTTCACTGGGTATAATCAAATATCCAAGAAAATAATTGTAAATAAGTTGTTTATAGGTAAATGCTTCAGTAACAATAATTGCTAAGTTTTAAAGGGGAAAAATATAATATTCGTTTGCAGTTAGATATCATAAAACATTGACGCAAAAGTTATATTATGGGTATTTAAATATGTATTAATATTTTTTCAAATTTTTATTAAAATAAAAATATAAATTTCTAAAAACAAAAATATGTTTAGGATTTTTGAATTTTGATAAAAATGTTCTTTATAATAAATTGCATTTTTTTAAATATCTAGTAACTTTTAATTGAAACTTTTGATTATAAAATCAATAAATTCATAAATATTTGGTGATATTCTTCAAAATGAGACATTGGGTATGTAACAGACGATTCAGAAATTTAGTTTAAGATAAGAATTTGTGTGTGTGTTTGTTTGTGCGTGCGTGCGTGTACCGCAATCTGTACGAGTCAAATCAACTTGCACGAAATGATTTATATTGGCATACAGTCGACGCAATTCACTATGTCTGTCTATCTTTATTTCTTTCTCTCTGTCTTCTGACTATCTATGCTTCGTTACGATTCCCGTTATGATCAAGGCTTGATTATAAGCGAAGCATGCACTGCAAATATTTAACGTTGCTACCGAAGTATAAATAAGATCGGCGGAGTACGATAACGCGGAGAAACAAAATGCCATTCAACTTATCAATTGCTGTCACATTTAAACCACCCAATTACATCATCAACATTTTCCTTTCAATAAATCATACCTATTATCTAAAAGTGTGATTAAGGAAAATGAAGAAAGGAATGTTTCAAAAATTACGTATTTATATTTTTTTTTTTCCATCTGCAGGGATTAGAAACAGATTGGTTACGTAATGTTCATTACTTTATACTCCCAATTGGATATCATAATTAGCTACAATATGTAAAAATTCTTTTTAGATAAATTTAACTTAAGTACGTTTATGCAGATTTATTTTTAACAATTTGGTCTCTTTTTTAGTAATACATAAATAGTTCGATTATTCTTCTTATCAAATTCTTTTTCTTTCTTATTTTATTTTTCTTAATCTTTAATGTACGATTTAAAAAGCAGGTCATTTGCCACGCAACGGCGAAGCCACATTTGAAAAGCAGGAAACTTTAATTACTCCGGTGAAACGAACTTTTTTTTTCTTATTTTTTTTCGAACGTTTTGTCTTGCGATTGTTCGACCTTGTAATCTTTTTTCTTTTTTCTTTAACACGAAGGTAAATGAGTACATGAAGTCCAATCACAATGAGAACGAAAGAATGAAAGAAGATTATGGAAGTAAACTTGCCAAATCTAATCATTGTTTATTTGCTGAGAAGAACGCATCGAATATTAATTAGGATCGATAAATTTTTTGCTCAAATCCCCTAGCAATCCCATAATAATAATTATTATTATGTTTTGTATGTACGATCGAAAAACGCAGATTTATTTTGCCTAATTTGAATTAATTAATAAATATAAGTGTTAACGTGTCAATGTTCTAATGAAATTGATATTAATTGTTTGCTATCATGTGTATTTAACGATACAAACATGGGAATTGTAAATAAAAGTAATAATAAAAAATGAAGTCTTTCACTTGAAAGTTATGCAGTTAAATAATCAAGATTTTTTAATTCTATGATTAAAAAATAGAACTATTAATTTTTACAATGATGGTTTAATTGTATATTTAAATATATAAAGAATCGTAAGAGGAATAAAATATTTCAAATAATTTTGAAATATAAATTTAAAATTGCGAAAAAAATAAATTATAATTCTAGAGTAAAAAATTGAAAATTTAAATAAACTAAAAATAAGAAATAAACGAATAAAATATTTTTTTACTCTTTAAAAGTAATAGAAATGTAATAGAAGTAAATTGGTGGTCGTAATTTTAAGGTTAAAAAAATGAAAATTTCTATATAAAAATATGGCAAATTAAGCTCCAAAATACATACAAACGAATTAAAAATTATGATTAAATTTATTTTTAAATTTTGATCTCGTATTAATTACATATATAATTTCTTGATAAAAAGGCGTTGTTCAGAGCATTTTTGCGAATGCAGATATCGTTAAGGTCAGGATAAACACGATATTTCCTGCATCGAACACGCTTGTTTCAACAAAGAAAGAAACAACGACGACTTTTGAAGATGTAAACCGCGTGAAGCGTGACAAGCTCGTTAAAATCAAATGATACGACAAGGTCGAATTTTCAGACGATGAAAGAACAAAAAAAAAATGAAAGAATTAAAAAAGAGAAAGAGAGAATGAGAGAGAGATAGAATTGTTGATGATGAAAAACTTTGAACTAATAAATTAAATCTTAATCGTGACAACTACGCGGGTGGTCTTTTTAAAATTGACGTGAAAATTGATTTACAACGAAATACGTTGGAAATTCCCACGCTCCTATTTCTATCTAGTAGAATAAGATTTTCAAAGAATTTATCTAGATGCATGCGATCTTTATCGTTTTATGACCGACTGAAATGATTTATGAAAAATGTATGTGAAAATAAAACTGTCGTTTGTGGTTATGATTGAAGTACTAAAAAGTTATATTGGATTTGCCAATGATAATTTATGATGGATTATTTAATAGAAAATACCTACGGTGTTATTTATTTGAATATTAAATATTACAAAATTTTTAGTAAAATGTATGCTAGATATATTACAATATAAATAATTATAATATTATTAGTCAATCCAGTAATTTTTTTAATTACAAATAAATATAATTAATGATTTATTAGGATAATACATATAATTAATGTCTCTATTGTATCGATCAATATTTTAAGTTACTTCTGATAAATATTTTATAATAAACATTGACCTAATAAATATTAGTGTAAAATTAATGGAATATATTAAGTTCTTCTTTTTATCTTTTTATCCTAATGCAAAAGTATACTGGTATGAAATACAAATAAAATACTTGATTTGTATAAAACGTGTGTTTGTAACGAATAACGTTCGTGGACCATTGGTATCAGAGATTTTTCTGACAGTGCTGAAAATTATTCTTTAAGTTTGCTCAAATGATAATAGTGTTTATCTATCTATTAACGATCAGGTGGTATCATCTGTAAACAAATTAACTGAGCAAGAGAGAAAGAGATAGAGCTAAAAGGTTCTCTATAACACTCCTATTCGTCGTTCATTCCACAGTTAGTTTCTGGATGACTATTTTGTTTCCGCATTTGAACCACAACATCGCGATTTGATACTTGTATATATACTCTCAGTATTTTTTGAATATGCCACCTAACAGTACGGTCAGTGCCATTGACATGAATAAAAAAAAGAGTATCAGTGATCGTAATAATTCATGTAAGTTTATTCGCAATTATTGTGATTCCTTTAATTTTTTTTTTTTAATTCTTTTTGAGTTAAATAATTTGTTAATATCGTTTAATTAATATTTGTATATAATTGGGTTGAATTCTAAGTTATGTCCAAATTTGTAATATAAAATATTTTAAAGTCAACACACAGCCTAGCAACGGTAAATTATTAGTTCTGATTAGATCATTAAAATCAAGCAACGTGGACACGGTTAATTATATGAATAGGTGATTTGTTCAGAAAAAAATAAAAATTGTATGCTATTGACTCCAGAGACTTGAACCCATAAAAAGGGAGAGTTAAAAGACACATAATATAGAATATATTTTAAAATATTTGCTTTGGTATTTTAATGATCAAAATATTTTTTATAGTATTTTTTTTTATTAATTATAAAATACTAAATACTGATAATATAAAATATTAGTTTTATTTTTTAAATATAAAATCCTAAAGAATATTTTGTCATCGCTTAATTGATATATAAAAGTAATGTAATTTATGTATAATATTGTAATTAAAGGTGTACAAGATACAAAGTTGCCACCAGCTGATTTCGAAAGCGCTGTAAATGCGACCGGATATGGAAAATTTCATGTTTTATTATACTTAGCAATAATACCAGTTTCTTGGGCGTCCAGTTTTGATACTGGTAACATATCTGTCATTCTTCCTGCAGCAGAATGCGATTTGCAATTAAGTCTTATTCACAAGGGAATATTAAACGCTGTCGTTTATATCGGTGAGAAAATTATTACCCATAAAATCCTATATTTTTTAGGAAGAATTATTTACACAAAATCTTTAGAAAAATATTCTAAACCAAGCACAAACCACTTATCTCAAACATATATCAAATTCTTCGAAATTCATACACAAAATTCATAATTAAAATTTTATACTCATTTAGGCATGGTATCGAGTGGATTAATATGGGGATACTTAGCAGATGTAAGAGGTAGAAAATCAATTTTAGTTTATGGATTCATGGCAGATGGAGTCTGCAACGTATTATCAGGATTTTCACAAAATTTTGAAACGCTCTTATTTTTTAAATTTCTCAGCGGAGCTATGTAAGTTTAATCATAACTCAAAATTTTCGAATCCGAGTCTGAATTAAATTTGATTTCTTTGTTATGTAAATTTTAGAATCAGTGGACCATACGCTGGAACAATGACTTATTATGCTGAATTTTATGGTGCCAAAGTTAGATCGAGAATTACACTTATTGTTGGTTTCACTGTTACTGCTGGAACCCTCATGACCTCGGGTAAATTTAAACAACAATTGTATTTTATTATATAAACGATACTTTTAATTATTTAACTGACTGATGTTTTTTTTTTTAAGCTTTGGCTTGGCTGGTAATACCACAAACTTGGTCAATCGTTCTCTGGGATGGTTATTTTGTTTACGATTCGTGGAGAATATTTTTGTCCCTTTGTGGAGTGCCTACTTTGATCGGTGTGTTTCTAATTTCATTTTTTCCGGAAAGTCCTAAATTTCTGATGAGTCAAGGACGCAAAGAAGAAGCTTTGAAAGTTTTTCGACAAATTTATAGGATTAACACTGGCAAACCGGAAGAAACTTATCCGGTAAATTATTATTTTAATATTTTCAGTGTTAAAATCATAATTCAGTTTCAGAATTTTATAAAATTGTATTTTGAATATTTAAAAGTATTTATTTAAATTTAGTAGTAAAATGTTTTTCTATAATTATTAATTATAATTCGTAATTTTTTTTGACCGATATGACATTAAATTATTAATTAGATAACCGAATTAGCTGACGATTTCGAAACAAACAGTTCAACTGACTTAACAATGGTGGATCCGTCTAAAAAATCATTTAAAAGTGGCCTACTTCAAATGAAACCGATCTTTTTTAGACCACACATATTACGATTAATTTTGATTTTGACTCTTCAATTTTGCAGTATGCTTTCGTAAGTTGTTTAAAGACATTTTTCAGAATATTTATTATTGTTAATTCCTTAAAAATTATGACCTAACATTGTCATATAAGAAGGAGAAAGAAAGAACACATTGATATGAATTTAACTAACACATAGAAATTAATTTACGATCTTAATGTATTATAAATCTTGTTGAGAAATTAACATTTTTAAGTTTTTAATTATATCTTGGATCATTAAAAATTTTTCTCCAACATAATTTATTTTTATCGGAACATATTGCTTATCGCATTTTCTGATAACATTATTGCTATTTTTGTAGTCTCAACACAATTCGGTTATGGCAACCACAACTCTTCTCTATATTGAATGACTTCAATCCAATTGATAACAATATTACCGATCACGAACCAGCATTTTGTGAAATTTTAGACATCGTCACTTATTCAAAGAATACAAATGTAACCAGCGATATGATCGAAGCAGTCGATTGTTCAAACGTAAGTTCAAATTAAAAAGGTAAAGTAACCAAAAATAAATTTTACTGATGTTTTGAAAATTTCATTTATTGTTTTGAATATATTTGATGTATTTACTTCAGAAATAAGTTTTATCATATCAGCTCGGAATTATTTTTAGATATAACATTTAATCCGCGTACCCAAAAAATGTAATTAAAACCGCACATTTTTAAATATGAATTTACAAAAAAAAAACGAAATGGAACATTCTGAGTATTATTCGAATATCTAAAAGTTAATATTTTGTATTGAGTTATAAAATTAAAAAGAAAAAAAACTTAAATTTTTATTGACGATTTGTTGGATTAGCATAATAAAAATTTACAACATAATTTTGAAGCAACTGCTGATATTGTAGAATAAAACTTACGATTCGTTATCCCAAGTTCTGCAAATATTCTTAAAAATACATTTACCATTTTAGATATAAAAATGTCTAATCTAAACGAATATAAATAATTTTTTTATCATTTTTTATCTTATAGATCGTAATATCAGAAAAGATGTACACAGACTCAACGATAGTATCAATGTCTACAATATCTTCACTTTTTATTGCCAGCATGTTTGTGAATTTATTGGGCCACAAAATTCTTTTATGTGAGTAGCTAACCACAAAAATTCATTTGTATCGTATAAAAAAAGGAAAGGAAAAATTAATAATATTCATCGTATGCAGATATTTGTTACACAGTGTGTGTCTCATCATTGATATCCATGATTTGGTCAACTAGTTACACGTTGACATTAACATTAACGTGTTTATTTGTTGGTATTATGATGACATCATTGAACATCATAGTTGGTGTCACTGTACTTTTATTTCCAACTACTTTGAGGTATTATTTTTTTATCAAATTAAAATATAACATAAATTAGATTTCCTAGAAAATTCGTGTAGATAAATATTTTATAATACTTACATGATTAGATTAATTAAAAACTTCTTATTAATTTTAAAACAAATTGTTTGACTAAACAAAAAATTGGTTTATATTAGGCTCAAAATTTCTGAATCCACTTATGGGATATTTATAAATTTTCATGAATTTTATGAACAGCCTAATGATAAATAAAAATACAACAAATATTTTACACACACACACACACACACACACACACACACACACACACACACACACACACACACACACACACACACACACACACACACACACACACACACGCTCGCGCGCGCATATATATGCACATATTCTTTTAAAAATCTATTATCAATTATGAAGAACGTAGAACATTTATTGAAAATAAGTTTAATTAGATTGTTTAGTTTCTTGTAAATTTTTGTATTTTTTATTTTTAATAGAACCATGGCAGTGAGTTTGGTAATGATAATAGGAAGATCTGGATCTCTGATCGGCAATGTCGTATTTCCGGTATTGCTTGAGTACGGATGCATAGCTCCGATCATGACGATAGCTTGCTTTCCCCTTCGTAAGTATCCATCTTCAATAAAGTCCTAATATTTCTTACAAATCTCAAACTAGTATATTCCTTATTTATTATATATATATCTAATTTCAGTTGGTATCGTATTAGCATTTTTCATACCGAGCAGTAAGATTAAGAAAAACAAAAATGTTGAATCTGGATAATAAGCTTCCTAAATTACCATAAAACAAAAGGAAAAAAGAAACATTTAAAAAATACTACAATAAAAACAAAAAGGTATCATCAAGAGATTTCATTTAATTGAAATGATTAAAATGATCGAAAGACTTTATTAGTCCTATTTAAAAAGAGAAAATAGAAAAAGGAACAAAATGATTCATAACTTTGACAAAAATGATTGAATAAGCACGGAACTACGTGAAATATGAAGATCATTTTGGAATTGATAATTTTTTATTGTTTACTCGGATTCAGAAAGGATTTTGAATGTTTTTTTTTTTAATTAGAATTGAAAGAACGAGGTAGAACTTAGGATCGAAAAAAAAGGATGGACACAATGATGAGGATTGAGAGTAGAGAGTGCAACACGTACGAACGAAGGCCTTGGGTTTCACTTTCGACACATCCTGGAGAGCCCTCCAGCCTTCACCCACATGCTCGTTCTCCTCTATCCTTTTTCTACACCTTCTTCTTATTCTTCTTATTGGTCGTCCAATCTCTTATTCGGAATCTTCATTGAAATCTTTTTAATTCTAATTGGGACGCCGATGCACAGCGTTTGTTTTAATGTTTACAAAATTTGGCCCCCAAAAGTTTCAAGGTTTATATTTTAAATTATTAATTTGAATACTTAATTATTTTTTTTTTAAATTGTTTCGTTCGAGATTCCGAATTTACACGAACTTAGAAAATTTTTGATTTAATTGTACAAATATTTGTGTATATAAATTAATTTTATTTATAGGAAAGTTAGGTTTAAGTTTAGGCATATTAGATTATGTTTAGAAACGAATCGAGAATCGTTTTAAAGGGGAACTCCAATACTCGCGACTATGTTTCTATATGCAAGGGATGTATCAAAAGTTTGTAGGAAATATTTAAAACGTGATTATGTTTTTTCTGTTTTTTTTTTCGAAATTTTTATATAAATTTATATTATATATATTTTTATTATAAATTTACAAGCGAAAAATTTATGTCAACTTTTACAAGGTAAAAGTTGATAGATTATATAGTATTAATTATTAGTTAAATAATATTAATTGTTGTTTAATTTCGAACACAAACACATACATACGAGCAATATTAATGTACGCGTTTATTTATTTAAATATCAAATATGAAAATAACTTTTTAATATAAAATGTTAATATTATTTATAAAAATAAATATTACGAAAACAAAAATATGTAATTTAATAATTATTGACAAATTCTAATTATACGCGTAACAATAAACGCATACACAAGTAACATAAACACATATTAATTATAATATTGTATGTATATAATGTAAATATTATTTATATAAATAAATATCACGAAAAAAGAATATCTAATATAATAATTATTGACAAATTCCAATTATACTCATAATAATAGACCCATACACAAGTTACATAAACACATCTATAAAATATCCACTTGAGCGTGTATAATAAACGAGTTTCTAATTTGATCTGGTGGTGTAGAATAACTTGGGGTCTCCCATTATAAACGCATCGAAAGGCGCAAAATCGTTAGATAAACGAGTGATCGTAGAGAAGGCAACGAACCAACCGATTGAAAGGAACGGAAGTGGCAGATGCTTCGCTGTGCTTCTCCTAGCGCTGAGAAAGCTTTTCACAAGAGGAGTATAACACAGATAACAGTATCGTCTCGATATAAAGATACTCTCTTTATTATATCTTTATCTTTATTTTTATCTTTATCTTTATCTTAATCTTTATATCTCTTTTTTATCTTTCTCCATACTATAGACTTACCCACGCGTATATTGTCTTTTATTCGGGATACAATTAACTATTGTAGATGGTAAAAAAAAACCAATGAAGAAGAATGATTGGACAGAAAAGCATATCTGTGAAATCGCGATATGACGACTACCGACTTCTTCCATCCGTATTGAATCGTTAGAATTATTAAATCATTAAAGTAAGAGAGGAAATGTCTTTCTCTCTCACAAGATTCGATCTCTTCTTCCCTATTGTTTTACTCATCCTTCTTTTTCTCTTTTATATTTTTTTTTATTATCTTAAAGTTAAGTTTGTTTAATTAATACGAAACAATTTGTTTTTAATTCACTCATATTCTAGTTTGATAAATGTCGGTATTTATTATTCTTTTTTGTTTTTCTTTCAATCTTATGTACAAGGGTAGATTGAAAAGTTTTGAAATTGTAGATACTTTTTGAATTTTTGTAAATTCGTCGATTTACGAGTCATCGATAAAAATATAAACGATTGTAAGAAAATAATTAATAAATAAATTACTTTTGTTTCTTTTTTAATTTACTTGGATATTTAAAACAAAAAAAAGTACTTTCTTATATCTGTAGAATCGATATGCGTGGGAAAAGAAGATCACGGTAGTTCCGAGTTATTCCATGAACTTAATTAATAGAGAGTCAATTCAAAGTCGGTAAAGAAAAAATTGAGAACTGAAGTCGACTCGAATCATCGAACACCATTACTATCATAATCAATAGAAACAACATTGTTTTATTCTCTCTTTTTTCTTTCCTTTTTTTCCCCTCCTCATACCCGATTCGAAAAAAATGGAAAAGATTCGCACGCACAGTAGTCTCAAAATTAATTAAACTTTGATTGAATATTTTTTTTACTTAGTTTTTTTTTGCTTCAATCAGTTTTTTTCCTTTTCTTTTCTCAATCATCGAGAAATAGAAACAGAAAAGAACAAAATTTTTGTAAATTTGACATTAAAGACTGTTTTCTGACAAATTATGATATTGTAGATTTTGCTAAAAATGATGCATGGGTGCAATCGGAATATTTAACCGATATAATAAAACATACAGCTGGCTTTGTATTTCGATCATTAAAAAAAAAATTCATTGTGATCAATGTTTACAAATGTTACATGGCCCTTTATCAACTAAATTAAAGTTAACTATTATTAAAAATAGAGGGGGATTGTTATTTGCATCTGACGACGTCAATTTAATTTGCAAATGTACTGAAAAAATCATTCTTCAATTTAAAAACTGTATGTTCGCCAAAAATATTAACCAAAAATTAGTCATTGAAACTCTAAAAGTAATTCTACCATCAGTATTAGATTATAACAGTCATTCGCTAGAACAGGAGATTTTTAATGATCATCGTTGTAAACTTATATATCTTATTGTGCAGACTTACATAAACGCACGCCTTAAACTCGAAAGCGACAAATTAGGTGACATGAAATTCCGTACTCGTATGTATAACGATAAACTTACTATTTTCAAAAGTGAATAATTTACGTTTTGCATGATAACTTATTATTTGAAATTAAAATAATACAAATAAAAAAAATAAACATTCAAATAAACAATAAACGTTTCTTACTCTATTCATTTTTTTTATAAATTACTAATAATTACAAACTTATTGATTTACGTGATCCTTACTATTTTTACTAATTATTCTTGAATAGAAAAACATTCGAACTCGTGCCGTACTAAAATCATAGAGAACTAAAATCAGCTACCTTAACCTCTACTAGCAGACTAATGCGCATGCGTCGCTCAGCGCAAGTTAAAGAGAGACAACATCAACCTCCTATCTTCTATCTCTTTTTATTTCGCCGACAGCTTTTATGCTGGCTTGTTTGCTCTATGTGTAGTATCTCTATGCGTACAACTCGTCACGGAGGATCGATTCGTTGAAACTCGAAAACAATCGATTTTTTTTTCTTATACTCATTAGTCGTTAATGAGTCGAGGAGAAAGGTTCGAGGTCAGTGACAAAAGTCGTTGCGGTTGCAGTTCTTCTGTAATCTAGGAGGCTGTTACTTCAGTGTCGGTGGACCTCCTTCTCCACCTCCACTTCTAACTCCATCGCCATCATCTCATCCTCTTCCTCTTTCTTCCTTTTTACCCTTTCCCATAAACGAATGAGTCACTTTCAACGTGCTTCATCGCTGTTCAATCTCCCTTCGGATACGTCCAACTATTAAACCGAACGGTATGCTCTGACGTAAACAGCTATAATTATCGAAAGTAACGAACTGTCTCTTTCTCTGGATTTATTTATTTATTTTTTATTTTCTTTTCCTTTCTTCGACTTTATTATGACTTCTCTCAACACCAGATACACCATCTTTTTTCTTAAATTTGTTATTGGTAGATGTAAAAATGATAAATCTGTTCATTTATTTTGTTTTCACAATGAAATTTATTCTAATAATCCAGATACGAATGTTTAACTCACATAGAAGTTATGATTACACGTGAAACTTTAAATAAGTTTTTATCCGAATAACATTCTTCAAATCGGGATGTGCATTTTTTTCAGAAATTATTGAACCGATAGTCTTGTAATTCTGCAGACATGTAATAATACTTGTGATTTTTCTCGATTGTTTTTGATATTAATATTTTTTGGATCATGATAAGTGAAAATTCTTTCGTAAAAATTGAAGTTTCCTATTTCAAGACCTGCCATTTTGGTAATTTTTTGTTTGTTATATTTTCCTTTCTTCCAACGATAAATAAATTCGTTATGAATAAAACTAAAAATAAATTTATTCGTTTAAAATTCCAAGAACGGCCGCAATCAGCATTACCGATGATATAAACGTTTATCGTTACATGATTTGAGTAAAATTCTGTAATATTTACAATTTGCAATAAAATGCTTTGAAAAAATTTGATATGTAACTTGAAACATATATAAATATAACTGCAAAAAGCAATTGAAACGTTTAATTAAATGAAATTACCAACAATTATGTCAACAATGGGGTGTTCACATTAAAATATCCCCTTTTAAGGATTTTTGACAAATTATTATTAATTTTGAAACTATCGTAAATTTAATTTATCAACGAAAGCTTGAATTTCATAGCTTCTTTCTTTCTATTTTCCTGTTAGATTTCTTAATTTTTTTTATTCTCTTGTTCTTTTCGTAAATTTATTCTCATAGATAAAACAATGATAAATCAATTTATTCATTCGTTTCAATATTTTAGTTAAATTATCTTTA